TATTTTTATGAAGGTCAACACACTGTACATTAGGTAAATATTTACCATATCGTTATTTCATTATTTCGCTTTCCAGCATTTACAGGAAACGCTTCATTCTAGAAAATGCTATCGCAAAACTGTTGGAAATAATAAATGTAACAGCAGAATACGTCCTAGCACAGTCACTCGACTAGGAGAGTGATTGTGGTCCTAGTAATAAACTAAGTGACTTCCAAAAACTGAATGGTGTTTGCGAACTTCGTATTAGTTATAAACCGACGTTAGCTTCACGTTTATGTCACACCATGGAAACAGCCAAAAACATGGTGCTTGTTTTTGAGCGGAGCGGATCGCCAACCAGCCTACCGGCTTGTGTCATTATTCGTTATTCGAATTAATACACCCGAAAATAAGAAAATAATTGATATCATTGCACAGCCGATTGCACTTTTCAGTAAAAATCCATATACACATTATTAGGGGTGTTCGAATATTTTATATGTTTATTCATTATCTTATTTATCAGTCTGAATATAGTAGTAGTAATCGCTCTTCTCGGATCATGACTTCACGTCGTGAAGAAGCTGTATTGTTCACGTTGGCGGATGTGGTCCTCATACTTAGAATCAAAGACGGTGAATACACCTTTAGCAAACATGGATTTAAAAAAAACACATGACAAACGAGACAGGTCCGTCACTTGCCGTCGGAATAGTCCCATCACCGCCCACTTTCACGCTCATCGTCACCCCCATTAGTGCCCACGAGTTGTAGTCATGCCCCACCCCCATTTATTACTCACTTCACGTTAGTTCGGGTAAGTAATTTTTCGCCTAGAACACATAGGTCTTTGTTTTTAAGGGTTCTATATTGCGGCATGGTGGGACTTACGGCAAACACAAGTCTTATACAAGAGATCTCGCGGGACATGGTAGACGCAGATGTGATCTCTCTCAGCCTGTATCTAAAAATCGTTAACCTAGTTTGAAACGTACACTGAAAGCGACAGTGTGATACGACGTAAGCATGCCATCCCGTTCCCCGTGGCCATACTGTTGATGTTGGAATAATCAACGGGCTCATATAAAACATATTTGTCGTGCTGCTGACTAATTAAGAGGGAAAACGGGTAATGCATTTTGCACGAATAATGTAATCATGTGATA